AATTCCACTCAACACCAAAAAATTAACAATAACTGCTGTGATGCACAGCTAAATGAAGAAAATAGAATAGAAAACAATACATACAACCTTGGAGAGTACGATTAAAGTATTTGAAATAGCAACATGCGCGGATATGAAATAGTAACCTCTTTTAAATATATGCACAACAGAACTCCAAAGATGCTTGTCATCCCATTTATTGAGGAATACCATCACCAATGATTTTGTTTTTGTTTGTTTTTTTGCACTAAAGTGAAACCCTGCCTTTATGTCTTTGATCCAATAATACAGCTTAAAGCATACAACTTAACATACTCAAAGTATAAAAATTCCAAATACAAACAAGTTATGCTCACAAGTAAAAGTTCAAAACCATAATCAGTCTCAAAATTTGGAGCCTGAGTACCAGGCATGAGGTCCCAAACCTGGTGCAGAGCCTGAGCTAAGCACTTAGACTTCAATTTCTGAATATTTAAATAAAACAAAAATAATATTCAGTGATGCTTTGTGTTGTTACATAAGAGCATACATACAAGATTTCAATTTGGCAGTATCCATATATTTAAATACAAAAACTGAATTAGAAATTCTTAGTGTAAAATAATGCCAATATTAACTGAGTACAATGGAAAAGTCAAACTATCCACACTCTACTCCAGTACTATATTGCATAAACAGTCATTGAAGTCAGGAGTACATTAAATATACCAGTACATCACAATTTGAGCTGATAAAATTCTAAAGAAACATAAAATCAGGGTTAGACAGTAGTGATTAAAGGTGTCAGAGTTTCAGGCGATGGACTATTGGTGAATTAAATCCATTAACCATCATTGAGGATGGTGAAGGAGAAGAGTCCTGACTATCATGGGCTGGCGTTGGCGAGGCAGGTACACCTTCAGTATCTTCCGAGTTTGAAGGCTGTACAACATCCTCAGTATGGGATACTGACATCTCATCTTGTATAGGAAGGAAATAAGGACTGTTTTCAACTTCTGATGCTTGGCTCAAATCTACATTCACCATCTGGCTGCCATCTTTACACTCCTCATCCTGATCTAGGGGCAGTGATTGATGAGTTAATTGAGGTAAAGGGCATTCTGTTGACAGTTGCTCATCCAGGTTGGCTAGTGGGGAGGAAGAATTGTTGGGCAAATCCTCATCTTGATGATGTGACCAAGTTGTAGATCCCAAAATTGGATTCCACAACTGCAGGGAGCATTGGTCCTGCAATGGACGCATATTTTCTTCCTTTACAATACAGTTGGAACTACTAGCAGCCCCATTCTGTAGATTTGCATTAATAAAATCTATTTGAGGAGCAGCAGTTGGTATTTGAAAACCATTGCTTTCAGCTGATGACATTCTCACTTCTTCAATAAGCAGTGAATCGAATTCTGCATTAGATCTTCCTTCTAGTAGACAAGCTTCGTCCTGTCGTTCAGATGACAAGTCTACAACATCTTGAGCCTCAGATTCTTCTCTTTCTGATCCTGAAAGTTTTTCTAGGACCTCCATAACAATCAGAGGTTGTGTCTTTAGTTTAAAAGGCTCCCAGTTTACAGGCGGACTCCCTTGCATTTCTCCATCCCCAACATGGGGACTAGATGAGAGTGGAGAGGAGAATGGAGGAGTGACCGAGCGAGGAGAAGAAGGAGCAGATGACAGAGGTGGAGAACAAGGAGGAGTTAGCAGTGGTGGAGACGTTGGAGGAGTTGGAGGCGTCGGAGGCGGAGTTAAGGGCAATTCAACTTCCTCAGGTTTTTCAAACAGGAATTCCAAAGCTGGACCCAATTCATCACTGCCATCTTGCGAAAGCTGATTTGATGGTGTGCTTGGTTGGACAGCTACTCCAGGTGTAGATTCTACTTCACTTTCATTTTCTACATCTGCTGGTAAGGTTAATAATATATCTGGAGGACGAGGAAGAAAATGAACATTGGAAACAGTGAAATTTTCTTCAAGATTTACTAAACTAGCATCTTCATCTTCTTCACCTAGCACATGTTCTTCATTCTGGTTTACTTCAGCAGCTGCTCCAGCAATAGACTGACCTTGAGAGGTCCAATCAGAGCTGTCACTAGAAAAAGATGATCTCTTATCTTCAAACCGAGGACTAAAGGGCGAATGGTTTTCAGGATGAGATCTATTACCCTCATCTGGCCTGGAATTTGGGCGCTGATTGACATTGTGAGTTTTATCTCCATCAAAAATATTTTCAGCCAACTCATTCAAATTCTGCTCGGAAATGATACATTCTCGAGCCTTGTGACTAGAGAAATCTTCACGTGCATTGGTACTCTCATGAGAACTGTAGGTATGAAATCCATTTGAATATAAGTTGCTTCTATCTTGAATGTTCTGGCTAGATTCAGCAGAGCTACCTTGAGAAGCTTCTTTTTTCTCAGCCAATATTTCTTCACCTTTGATTTCATCAACCACTGAAGGAAGATGGGGTAAGTTAGGTTTTAATGTATTTCTATTATGGTCAAGATGTATTCCCTCAATATCCTTTTCTGAATCTGAAACTACTTCAATTTCTTTTTCCTTGTCAATTTTATTCTGGTTATCTCTCAGCAAATTCTGATCTCTATTAAAACGTGCCCCTTTTGAACTTTGTACAGAAAAATTTGTTTCGGGCACATTTCCAGCTTGGCGGTAAACATTCACTTTTTCTGTTGGTGGAATATTCTGTGGGAATTGCCCTGTAACTACAGGTGACCCTTTGGAGGAGAATATCACAGAAAGAACTGTACGAGGATCATTGACAGGCAAGCAAGGAAATTGACCCCCATTAAGATTTACAAAGGGCATATTAGCTTCAGTGGATACAACTTTAAGAGATTTTCTATCAGGAGCTTCCCAGTTCTGTACTGGTGTTTTTGTTAGAGACAAAACTGAGTTCTGGTGAATCTTGGTTTCACCAACACCTGACTTCTGATGATAAAGTGCAGAAGATTTTGTAACTACCACATTGGAATGGTGAAATTGTGCCCCTTGATTAGCCTGGTTTTGATAATTAAATCCAGATAGGTCGGAGGGATTGGGGTTTTGTTGACGGAGTTGCACATCTGGCGTAACTTGGCCTTGATAATGATACACAGGAACTTCAGAATGGCTTTGATGGCGCATTTGTGCTTCTTGAGCAGACTGGTTTTGAAAATTCGCCATTGATATTTCCATTGGTCCATGGTTAGATGGGTGTACTCGTGTATCCTGAGTAACTTGACCTTGGTAAGAAAAACCAGGAACTTCTGCAATAGAACGGTTTTGATGGTGGAGTTGGTTTTCTTGAGCAGCCTGATTCTGGAACTGAAAGAGCTGTGCCTCTGCAGCAGAATGGCTTTGCTGGCAAAGTTGTGGATCAACTACATCTACGTTGCGGTGGGGGTAGAAAGATCCTTCGAGATGACCTGAGCTCTGAAGTTGAGATTCAACAGACCTCTGGTTTTGGAGTACATGGAATGAAGAATCTGAAGAATTTTGTTGGTGGTACTGGGCTTCAGTTTGATTTTGGAGGTGGTAAAATGCTGCACTTGGTTGACTGGGTCTCTGAAAATGAGAATCTCCTGTCTGGTTCTGGAATCGATAAAATGAAGTGCCTTCTGGGACAGCTTGATTCTGGTGATAGAATGTTGGTGCCTGAGGTCCTGATGCTTGATTCTGATGGACAAAGTGTGGGGGTGGGGTTGGATGATGGTACAATGCTGCTTCCTGTCGGTGGTAAACTGTGGAGTCAGAACCCTGCTGATTTGAATGGTACAGAGATGGCTCAGAACCAGTTTGGTTTTGTTGATGAAACATAGCGCTTTCTGCGGGATGATGATTACGATACAGAGCTGCTTCAACTGCAGACAATGTTTGATGAAAAATTTGTCCTTCTTGTACTGGATGATGTTGGTCACGAAAAGTGGAAGTATCTCCAGGGCGCTGGTTAGCTTGATGGTACAAAGATGTTTCAATATTGGTCTGGTTCTGGTGGTACAACGTTGGTTCAGGGCCAGGTTGGGTGGTTTGGTGGAACACTGGTCCTTCGCCTGAACGTTGAAAGAGAGGTGGTTCAATAGGGAGCTGGTTTTGGTGTTGATACATAACAGTCTCAACTGGGGGGTGGTTTTGGAGATAAGACGGTGTTCCAACTGGCGGTTGGAATGTCGATTGTTCCGATTGTTGAGCTTGATGACAAAACGGAGGGGCATCTGCAGAGAGGTGACTTTGCCTGTACAGAGGTGGTACAGATGAGAATCCAGAAGGGTTCTGCTGCCGAAGGACAGTGGCATCTGATGTAAGCTGGTTTTGTTGGTGTTGGTATGACGTCTCAGAAGTAGCTTGAGAGAGAAAGTTGGGAACTTGTGGTTCCAATGAGGCCTGATTCAGATGACCAAAATGGTTTTCTTGTGGAGCTTGTCGGTGATAATAATTCTGTGGTACAGGGTCAACACCAAACTGACAAAAATCACGAGAGAGACCACCTTCCTGATTAAGGAAATTGACTCTATTAGAGGCGTCTGCCAGGGGCCTTCCGTCACAATCGTACTTTGTCGAAAAAGGAGGAGGTGCGGTTTGAATGGTCCTCATGGACTGCAGCTGCAGTGAGGCCTCCAGCTTCTGACACGACAGAACTGATGGAGGGGCAGCATCACAGGTGCCGAGCCAGGAGATGCTGTTTGGGGAGGCCGGTCTGGCTGTGGCAGGCAGTGAGGGCAGGGCCGACACTGGAGGGCCTGCAGGCGCCGCAGTAACTTGCGGACTCACGGGCGTCGTTGAGACTGGGGGTAATTGCTGCTGCTGCTGCTGACCATGTCGACTGTGAACTGAATTAGGATGCTCTTCCCTGTGGCTGTCGCTACGGTTGGGGCCCATGTAGGGGCCGTGGGCGAGGCCCTGGGCAGGCGCCCGGGCCCCCTGCGGCTGGTTGCGCAGCTCCTGCAGCGGCTCCTGCAGCAGGCTGAGCGGAGCGAGGGACGACGTTGAGGCCGGCTCCTCGTCCGCGGAAGCGTCTGGTCACTTACGCTGCGCGGGCGGGACGTACATGGACTGCGGGGCGCGGGCGGGGCGCGGCGCAGGTCGCGGGGCGGGGCGCGGGGCCTCCGGCTGCGGCTGCTGCACGTAGGGGCGGGAGCCCCCGCGCCTGAACTCGACGCTCCCTGCGGACGGCAATCACGAGATGAGCACACCAAAACACACAACAAAAATCTTACCTGTTCTCATGGTTTTTAATTTTATAATAAAATTATAGGCGAATGCATGCAAAACAATATAAGTCGTGGAAGTTTTACTCAGAATTCACAAAAATAGTCCCCAATAATTCATTAATTAAGTCACAATCTTGGAATAATTTTCTATGAACCTTATTTCCACAAAAAAGACAGGCACTAAATAGCATACTACAACTACAAACCTGAAAAGGGTATCCCATTGGATTCATATGAGGTGTGCGAGTTCACAGAATTCATGGATTTGAAGGGTTTTCCTGATGAATTTCCAGGACTCTCAATGTTTGCATTTCCCAGGTTAAAGTATTGGTCAGCAGGTAAGGAACTAGGTGGACAACCATTGTTCAGAGCATTCCTCAAGGGTTCAAAGAAAGATGACTGAAACAATATGATAGAAAGGTAAGTCAGACAATCATCTAATAGAAAGTTTCTTGGCACCAACTTGTGTACTTACTTTAGTGACGGGAATGGTATCTTGTTTGAGAACCTCTTCATGGTTGCCATAGTCAACAAATCGCACCACAAGGGTACGTGCAGCAATGCCAGTTACAACAGCCTCATAATACTAGAATTACAATCAGCATCAGAAAAGAGAGCAGAATGTCAAATTTTACTCAAGACTGATTTTAAGAACAAATTACTCACCCTTTCATCCTCCCAGTATCTTGCCAAGCACTGGTCTCCTAGCTTCCAGGCCCAATACACGCCAGGTCCATCTGAGTCTTCAGGATTCAAATGTTGTGGACTATCAGTTCTGCCACCTTGCATATTCCTGCTTATTCCTGAGTTCTTTGGATTTCCAACATTGCGTGTATTGTTGGGGTTGTTGTTGCTAATAGTGGTATTATTACTCGGATACCCACCTAAAAGTAAGAATATTTAGTAACAAGGAAACAATTAATTAATACTATAGCAAATGGCCACAACAAAAGAAAAAGAAACTGACCATTCATAAGAGAACTACTCATATGTAAATTTTCTTTATATGGAAAATCAGGTATTTTAGGCAAAGCTGGATTGTTCGGAGCATTCCTTGAACCTCCCTGCAACCCTCCTTTCGATCCAAGCATATCCTAGAAAAAAAAAATGATAAGTTATGGTCAGTACAAAATTAAATGGATGGATAAACTTAAACTGTGCTACGAATGTATAAATCATTCTCATACATTTTCAAATGGACTGTTTCTATTGTCAATATGTTGCCTGAAATTAGATTGGTTGGGCTTTTGTATTCCTTGGTTTGTATTCCTCCCATTATCTATGGGTCGAGAATACTGCTGCTGCTGCTGATGGTGCTGTTGGTGGTGCTGCTGCTGTTGCATTTGCTGATATTGCTGACGGGGCGCAGATTGAGGGTGATTTCGAGACTGCAAGCCATCAAAATCTCTTTGGCTGAAACAAAGAACAATACAAGATTTTCATATAGGGAGGAACAGATTTTGTTTGGCCCAGTCATAGTCTGAGTGTATTTTAATTTACCTATTTGCCCATGAAGGATTATTGAACAAGGGGTCATCATCAGGAGTATTGTCACAATCAATCATTGACATCATTTCAACTTTGCTAGAAAGAGAAGCTTGCCAATCAGGTACACCTTGTCCTAGGCTTGAGTTTGTTGATACAGCATTAGACGGAGTATGACCAAGATAACGTGTACTTTCGTGTTGAAGAGGTGGCCTCGTGCTATGTTGTAAAAGCATAATGACATCAATATACCAAAATTAATATGAAATATTGGACTAACACACAGAAATTGTATCAGACATACCTCTGGTTTTGGAATCGAGGTGCTTTGCTATCTCCTCCCTTGTCTTTGTCTTTGGTTTTGGAAGTGTTTTTCCCATTCGCTGATCCATCTTTTCTGCCTTGACTGTTCGGCTGGTCTTTAGAGCGAGGATTATCCTTGCGATCCTTAAAGCCTTTATCATTGTTGGGGCGATTTTCATCTCTGTAGCTTCTATCTTGTCTCCTATCGTTTCCACCCCCAGTGCCGCCACCTCTTCCCCTCCCACCACCTCTTCCACCTCTCTCTGCATTCCCACCCCGATACTCTCTTTCGGGGGGACCCCTTCCATTCGCTGCTCCGCGACCACCACCACCCCCTCTACCACCCCTCTCTTGATGGCCTCTCATAGAAGCTGCCTGCAACTTCTCTTTTTCTTCTAGAATAATAAGGAAACACAGAATACTTATTAGCTGAGAAAAAGTTGCACGATGCCATATGCCACATAACAATGCCCACCAAAGTTCTTACCAAACGGAAGTTTGTCTTCAAGAAAATCAAACAGGGACAGTCGACCTGAGGGTTTAGCAGGGGCAGATCCACCAACCTCATCATCATGACCACGGCCCTTTCCTCGTTCTCTGTTGTTGCCTTTGCCAGTGGCCCTCCCAGACTCTTGGCCTGACTCACGAGGGTTATCTCGGGTACGGGTATCAGGTACATCTTTTTCAGGTTTTTTGGCTTCAGTGCTTTTAGGACCATCTGATTGTCGCTGTAGGGATAGAAAATGCTTTGGTGAGATGACGATGATAATATTGACTAATAAATAAAATTTTAACTGCAATAAATCATACCTGAAGAATCTTCAATGCCCTGTCAACATTATTACGACTCATTTTAAGAGCATTGTCAGCTTGTTCAATTGAATAACCCATATCAACTATTTGTTGAACATTGTGATCCAACAGTTGTCTATTTCCACCACCAAAAACTTTTCTAGCGCCACCTTTACCAGCCTCAGCAATGGCATCTTTTCGCTGAGCTTCAAATTCAGGATTGAAAGCTTCAGTGTTTTGTTTGTCTTTATCCTGGAGGGATTTGAAATTTCTATCTGATGGATGAGATCGGACTATTTTTTGACCAAAGGCAGTCCATGGGGGTGGTCCTCCATCCTCCCCACCGCCTCTTTTATGTTTGGCAAGACTTCGGTTGAGATCCCATTTTTCATACATATGTGTCACTTTTCCACCTAAAATTTCTGCTCGGTTGGCATTTAGAAGTAAGAAATTACTGCTGACTGGTATGTTTTCTTCGCCAGGGTGGGATTTAAGTAATATTTTAGTTCCTGGTGGTGTGTTGAAAGTAAGGGCTGGTATCCGTGACATCTCCACCGCATGGCAGGTAGAATGGCCATCAGTCAAAGTAAGTTTTAACATGCGAGGAGCTGCTCCTGATTCTTCATTAGCCTTTGGAGCTGATACATTGCGAGCCTTCTGGAGCTGTACAACTAAGCCCCCAGGAATCTAGAATAATATTTAAAGTGTCATAGTTACAAAATGAGAATCTGCTTACAAAGATTACATACAGAGAAGAAGTTCTAAGTAGTTTTTACATACTCCCTCTATCATGCAGCGACCAACTTCTTCAGGAAATCCAGGGGCAGCTATTTCTCTGAGATCAACCTGGAAGATTCATAGAATTCACTTCAGTTGATTGCAAGCTAAAATAATCTCGAATAATTATAGGAATTGAGTCATGAGTCTAACTTACATCGAGGGCCTTTTTAATTATGGTCTGTATATTGGTTATTTTGCCATCATCAGTAAGCTGTTTGATCCCATCATCTGAGAGAAACCTGTAGAAAACAAAATAAAGAAAGAGTTTTAACTCATTGACTTGCCAGTGGTGTTGACACAAACACAGACTTCAGAACTCCCCCAAACACACAGAAACAATAAAATACTTTAATTAATACGATAATGAATTGAAAGAGAGTAAAAAATTGTGTTCAATTGCACATCAAAGAAAAAAATCTAGAATACAAAATACACACACCGCCAAAAAAAAAAAAGAAAGTTCTCTGAACATTTTGACAATTCCTTTGACAAGAATGTCATAACAGAACTGTGAAGATTTTGTATTTCCAATAAAACATAGACTAAATGTGGAAGAAGATTATTGAATGAGGATCGTTACTAATACGCAATACAAGCTACCATAGGCTAAGTAGGCAAAATTTAGATATTTTGACGGATGAATATAGTATGTACAGGTTAGGCCTAGGACCTGTCATCTGCTGTACCCTGCCAGCGGCATTTTCTGAAGTTATCACAGTACAGCACGTCACTTTCAAAAACTGAAAATTTCGGTGATTGTGTATCCTGATATATCTGTATTTTACTAACCATCCTTCTTTTTGGAGTTGCTCCTTCAAACCAGCCATCTTTGCAATCAAACGAATACAGCAGACACCTTGTTTTCAGTAAGTTTCCGAATAAATGTCAAGTTTATTGAGATGGAAGAAACTCTATGACTCTAGCAAATTTCTCAAAATTCATTTAACAGAGAAAAATGGACCAAAACCTGGTCATAAGTTAAAAATCCGCATTTTTTTCAAAAATACAGGCAAAAGCTAACTTCTGCCCGAAAACGTCTAATAACATACGCCTTGTGGAACTGAGCGAAACAGATTTGCTGCGCCTTGCGCCTGTGCATTTTGGGCAGAGATAGTCCGGACGCAGAGAAAGTTGCTCAGGGAATGCTTCGCCTGTAATTTTCAAATTCAAACGCTGCCGATAGAGAACAGACGAATACGAATGCGAGCTGGGCATTTTACGCTATATCTCTTATTTTCACAAAATTACAACGTTAGAACGAAAATAGTAGAACTACGTGCATACTACGTACTTATACATTTGGAAATCCAAACAGAGAGCAGCTTCAGAACAGAAAGCTGAAAGGGATGCTGGATGCTGGGAATAGATTCTGTTTGAGTCGTTTGAATGTCCCCGCGGCGTCCCCAGGCGGACTCGCGGGGAACCTTTTGAGCTACCCCGCAGATACATCCCCCGGACCGCTACTCTCGCGTAAGGATGCGCAATGCGCAGATCGCGAGTTCCCCACGGAAGGGGGCATTCCGGTCCGGATGGAACAGTGTGGGTGGGTTGCATACACTGTAAATCTGGGGTGTCCAGCAGCTGTGCGACTTAAGTCGCACGTCCCAGGTTTCTGTGCGACTTAGAGGGCACAGTTTTACACACCCCTTCCCCATGCATGTTATACACTCCATTGCATTTCCAGGTGTGTACTATGTGCTCATTGGGTCACCCAAAGGTGTCCAGCAGCTGTGCGCTCTAAGTCGCACAGAAACCTGGACACCCCAGATTTACAGTGTAGAACAAAAGTGCACCCTGTACCACCCTGTACCTGCACCGCACCCGCACCCGTCAAAAATTGACGTGGTTTCGACTTTCGACGTCCAGTACATGGACGTGAGCGTTTCTCCTTGCGAATGCAGCCTAACAGATTCGGGAGCGGAGCAAACGTAACTACCAGGTGGCTGACTCACGCCGCGCGCACTTTCGTAGTTATACTGTACCGCATGCGCGCGTGAGGGCGGGTTTGCCTATCTCTACTGCCAAATAAGGCTCCTTCTGGCCCCGTGCGAGTAGGCAACCCGCCCACGCGCGCGCATGCGGTACAGCAGAACTACGAAAGTGCGCGGCGAGAGTCAGCCGGTACAAACCCGAACCATCGAGGGAAGAATGCCCCAACAGCTGCAGCTTGTGTTATTTCAACTTCAACCCTCAACAATATGACCAATAATGCCAGACCATTGGACTAAACTGCGTACTTGCTGTGGTCTTCCCCATACGCAGCTCAGGTTCAGGGCCTGGTCAGCCAAGAGTTCTGACTGTCCGGTAGCTGCACTTCGCTTTACCCGAAGCTGCTGTACACACTTCTCAAAGGTGGGCACTGTTTGTGTAGGTTAGTGACATCTCTCCCCCCCCCCC